GTATTTTGCCCCATCCATTTTTCCTTCTATCCTGACAAGTGCTCCAGTCCCTGCTGCAGAGAAACTCCCCCATAACAGGATCTTACCACCTCCATGCTTTACTGCAGCAATGCTGTTATTTGGATGGTGAGCTGTATTGGATTGGATTGGATTGAATTTTAGTCTCATCTGTCTCAGAATCTTCAAGGTGCGTTTTGGCAAAGCTCATTCGTGACTGTATGTGGCCTTTCTTGAAGAGTGGCTTTTTTTCTTGTAACCTTCCCATACAAGCCACATTTGTGGAGCATTTGTGATATTGTTGTCACATGCACACAATGTCCACTCTTTAAATTCCTGCAACTGCTTCAGAGTTGCTGTAGGCCTCTTGGTCACCTCTCTGACCTGTTTCCTCCTGGCTCTTTCATCCAGTTTGGAGCGACGTCCTGATCCAGGGAGGGTCTGTGTTGCACCAAATACCTTCCACTTCTTAATAATATACTTCACTGTGCTTCTCGGCATTGATAAAGCCTTTGAATTTTTTTGTATCCATCTCCTGACTTGTATAGTGACGTAGGTATGTGGGGGCGTGTTAGAACGAGCCGTTTTAGGTAGGCGTGGTTGACTCTTAACTTTTATAAAAAATATCTCTTTGGATTTGAGACTTTAGTCTTTGCAACTTTACAGATCTTCTTTATGCACCAAGAGCTTGTAACACTCCAAAGAGAAAGGAAAAATTTAAATCGCATCACATGACCCCTTTAATAATAGACTTCACTGTGCTTCTAGGCATTGATAAAGCCTTTGAATTTTTTTTGTATCTATCATCTGGTTTGTGCCTGTCCACAACTTTATCCCAGAGATCTTTTGACAGTGCCTTGCTACCCATAGTTGATTGTTTGCTTCAGTTGCACTACCAAGTACTCCAGGAAAGCTCTTTTCATGCTGAGCTAATCAAAATGACCACAGCTGATCACAGTTGGATGTAAAATGGCTTTATGTGCCATTGAGAAGGTGATTAGCTATACCTGATTGAGTTCATTTTTAGGAGGGGTGATCTTTTTTCCAACTCAGTGATTCTGTTTTATATATTTTTTATTTTCTGGCATGTTGGTATTATGTCTTTCACTTGGATGTAATAAGTTGTACTGAGTAAATACAGCTGGATAAAACAAAAACTGTTTCGTCTTCATTTCAGGCTGCAAAGCAACAAAACGTGATTATTTTAAAGGAGGGTGGTTCTTTTCTATACTCACTGTATATCTAACATAATATAAATAAAAAAAGTATCCTCCAACATGACATGTATAATATCATATAATTGTAGAGGGTTTGCAAAGATAGAAATGACGAAGAACTCTGGGTGGCGAGCAAGCATTCTTTATTGACCAAAATATAGCAAAATAAACTCCTTAGGCACACTGCCTCGTATAAACTCAAAACCAAAACAGTGCAAGCACACCATCCGTGCTGCATCAGTCCTTTTTCTGTCCCAGGTCTGGGAGCCGCTTAAATCCCATCTCTCCACCAATCACTGGAATTAGAGACAGGTGTTAGTTATCATGCAATTGACCGCTTCACTTTATTATATTTATATATATTTGATATCACAAATACCGACGAATGGGACGAGACCTGGTTGAGCTGCACTAGAGAAGGCAACGAGTGTTATCACTATGTCGGAGACACGCTAGCTTTCCCAAGGCAGATGAACTTAGAGTGGTTACAATCATCCGGGTTTAAATCACGCTCAAATTGATTTGATTTTGACGCAATATTTACACTGAAGCTCGCAGGAGGCTATGGTAAGGGGCATGATATTTCCCGACCAAACGCCGAGTGCTGCCAATCACAACACACACTGGCCCAGCTAACCAGGGCCTTCATTTGATACAGGAACTATTCGAACCGTTCATGCCAGACTGGGGAGATGTAATACATGTAATAATGTAAAATATGTGAAAAATAATGTGTTTTTCAAACAACCTAGCAATAAGTGTTGTATGGAGTTTGGCCATTAGAGGAATGAATAATTCATACAAAAAAGGCAGTCATCCTTTGTGGCAGACAATGCACCATGCCCTAGTGTTTGTTGAGATGAGCACTGTGCTCAGATTAGCCATTCAGATCAATAGTACTGCACTGCCAGGGGATCAGGGAATCACTCCTATCACGGCACACGTTTCCACTGACATCACCACCAATGGGATCGCAGAACACATTTTAGCCCTTCACTGAGGAGGGGTTGGGAGTATGCAGCGGTATTAAGGACACTCAGATCAACTGAAATATCAGCATACTACATATTTAGGCAGGGTGTGTCTGTGCCAGCCGACCACAGTAAATACATATTCTCCAGAATTCGAGATCTACAACTTGCTAATACAAACCCATGGCAGCCTGCAGAAACTTTCTGGTTGTGATGAATGATTTTGACATGTCTCTGCTGACATCATGACATATTTCAGGAGGCTCTTCCCAAAGATCAGCACTTATCACAGCTGTTAGGGTGAGCTTAGTTTCCATAACTAGATTACTAATGGAAAAGGCAGGGTTGATGGGGAGAGAAGAGCGAATGAGGCCGGACTTGTGCTTAAAATAGCACATATGAGCAGCCAGCAGTGGTAAGTATTCCAGTTATGTCCTGTAACTTCACTATCTCTCTCTTCTACAAACCACAGGCATTCGAGAGCCCACAGAACATTAAGTCTCACCATCTTATCGACACAGCTACAACTGACAAACTTCCTCTCTCACTTAACACATTTGGCCATGATCTTTATCTCTTGGGCACTCAAACAAGAGGTCTGTAAGCTGGTAAACTAATAACTAGATCCCTCTGTGACACAAAGCTCAAATGACTCTCCCGATGATGGTTAATCTGAGCCTGGACCTGGCACAGGGTCTCCATGCACAGTGGCCCTAATGAGAAGCATCAATCAACCCTGGCAGCAACATTTACTTACCTGTCATCTGCATGAGAGATGGTCTTCATGGCTGTGTGCGATATTCCTACGAGAGTCCAACATTCTGAATCCATGAGCCCACCTCTATATGGAGAACATGGAGTGATAACAGGGAAATCAAGGTAGGCGGTTGAACTTTGTAATAGTTTTCACCTGGGTTTGTTTCAGCAGGCAGCAGAGCATTCAAAATAAACAGCAAACCCTCGTTCTCTCCTCTGGCAAGTAACAGAATGAGATCTGTCTCAGCAGGGCATGTAAATCTGAGCTCTCTTAACCCTCACAGCACTGATGAGGTAGAAATCCCAGCTCAGCTTACTGACATATGGGAAGACACAGAAATTAATGGAAAGGAATAGGAGAGGAACAGGTGCTGTGTTACACATTTTAATGGAATAGTGAAAAAAAATAGCAATTCTTAATACTATTGCAAAATGACTTAAATTTATTGCTGATAATGACTAATCTCAAAGACAAATTCTTCCATAACAAAACTTCACGCAAGCTTCCAATTCCACTGAATGATTCAGGTTCCATATTGATTCCATTAACATTCCCCTGGTTCTCTGTTGATTGTGAGTTGGACATGAAAGTATTTGCGGTGCACTGAGTAAATCAAGAACCACTCAAGATCAAGTTAATTGATTGATTGATTCAAACCAGTAACTAAAGCTGCATTCGAAATTGCATAATCTCTGGGTAGGGTTGGGTAGCATTTGAATTTTATTGATTCCGATTCTGCTTATCGATTCCGATTCTTATAGATTCCTATTTTCGATTCCAATAAGATAAAACAACTCCAATAAAAATTAAAAAAAAAAATTAAGTCAAACATTTAGATGCCAAACATATTTATTCTGTCAATTAACAAAGCTGTTACTGTTGCAGCTGAATAACATGAGCAAAAATCAGCAGCCTACAGAACACTTAGGCCTACAAGAGGAACTTTTGCCTATGGTTTTAACAAAAATACCACAGCAAAAATACTAATGTAAATTTAAAGACTAATATAAATTATAAGGTGGATAATAAGGTGGTGTCCAATGGAAGTGCACTTCCGAATCTCGCCGGAAACGGGTACATTTTGTCTACCGTTTTATAAATTCTGTGAATTTGGACATACTACTCTTTTCCCATTCTGTTTTTCTACTATATAATTTAAAAGTATGCATATTTGGATGCAGACTACTTAATGTATGTCTTTTTATTACTCTGTATAACACCCAATCTTTCTCCCTCATCACTTAATCTGACAACTGAAACAATTTCTTTTGCTGAGATACTGTGAATTTTGTTGCAAATATTAAAATGTCTCTAACTAATTTATGTTAGTAGTTTATAGCGTAGGCAGTTTCAAATTATCTTCCCCAACACTTTACAGTCAAAATAAAGCACAGATTACCAGACATCTTCAATTCAAATACTACTTTAGTAGTGCAGCTCTAAGCTAGAAAAAGCCCACATTACCTTCACAGGAATATGCAATAACATTAATGGCCATCATTACCATTACCTCTGGACATTTCCAGCTGATTTGCAGATTCCAGCACAGGCATATGATATCAGTGGCTCATGAATCATTACGTTACATCCCATTACTCATGCATCTGTTAAAGAACAATTTAAAAAATCTTGCAGCTATTTATTTAATTAAAGAACTCCATAAACATGGTTAACCATACAAATGACCTGCGTTGACCTCTTAACCACCTGCCCTTAGAGAAAGCAGGAAGTGTGCATCTTAAAGTACATTTCATGCAAATAAAAGGAAGAGAAGCACTCACTGGTCCTGTAAAATGAAGTCCGTGTTTTCTGAGGAGATATGTCCCGTCACAGGATGTCTGAACGCCGTCGTCCTCTGGTTGTGGCTGCATCCGAGAAGAAAGGGAGGGAAATGGGGAAAAACAAGAGAAGAAAAACAAAATGAGCAAACCAATATTAATCATGTTTAATTTGGCGTTTCCCTCCTCCTCTGTGGGTACTGTAGCCATAAGAGCAACTTTCTACAGGAATACACTAAGTTTGAGGAATTCTAATGACTTTCCCGCAGGAGTGCAGAATGTGTGGCAGCGCTGAAGTCTGGCCAAGCCCACTCATATTGTTTAACACAAAGTGTGGGGCTAAGCACAAACCGCTGCAGAAACTTCATTGATTTCAATTACACAGGGTCATTCACTGTTTAACTAGAACATTAAAACATCTCACTGTCATCAGGTGTAATAAGACAGAGACAGGGGGCTTCTAAGGGTGAGAGGACTTTGAAATAACACGCATAATATGCCTGCTGTCATCAATTCAGTTATTCATTCTTTCTTTGCACTGTGTGTTTGGCTGAAAAAGCGAGAGTGGTGGTAATTTGATGAGTAAGGAAGATCCCCAAGTGAGTAAATGTGGTCCTATATGAGGGGAAAAGGCTATTAAGTCACATTGCCTCAGCGACTCTCTATGGACTCAAGGCTGATAGATACAGTTAAAAGAACAGGCATAGCCATGCTTCAGGTGCTCTAGCAATCATATAGCAAAGAGAAGATGTCCTTCACAGTAGGTTAGAACAAATGTTAGAATTAAAACTAATAAAACAAAGCTGAAATAAAACTTAAACTCACCTCAGCAACTAACTGAAAAAAAAAAGTTTGGTAATACTATTTTAAGGACCAATTCTCACTATTTACTAGTTGCTTATTATCATGCATATTACTAGCATTTTGGCTGTTTATTAGTACTTATAAAGCACACATTAATGCCTTAATCTGCATGAGCGTATTTTAGATCCCTTAATTCTACCCCATACCTAAACTTAACAACTACCTTACTATTAATAATGAGCAAATTAAGAGCTTATTGAGGGAAAACTCTTAGTTAATAGTGAATATATGTTCCCTAATCTAAAGTGTTACCAAAAGTATTAAAATTACCAAAGCTAAAACTGCAATAAATAGAAAGCTCAACAGAAAGCATAAAACTAAATTCAGTAAAACTAAATGAAAACTGATAATATAAAAAAGCCCATATAAAATATTACTAATAGCATATTAATAATACTATAATAACTGGTATGGACCAGGGATGGGCACGGAAATAAAAGCAATGATAAATTGAGCAATGCAAAAACAAGAAGATATTTCTGATCCACTGAAATCCAACTGGTATGCAAATGTGCCATTTATTTATATGTATATACAAAGTTCTGTCATGAAACTCGATGGCGCATAATGACATCATTATTCACATGGCGAAGCTGATTCGTTCTTTTCGTATCAGCAGCCAATGAGCTTACTGCTCAACATTCACATACTTGACTAGTGCTTGCTGTATCACTTGCAATGCTTCAGAAACCCACCTCCTGGGCTGGCCATTTCATTATTTCAATGTTCTTAGCTTCAAGGAACTGCTATATCTATTTTGCAGTGTCACAGGGACATTGTCTTGCATGAAAATCGCAGGCTGATTGGGAGATGCTCACAGGGAAGGTACCGCATGTTGCTGAAGGACGTTCTGATAAACTTTTGCATTCACTCTTCATAAGAGGCCCAACTCCTGCTGCAGAAAAAATCCCCCAAACCATGACACTTCCTCCTCCACCTTTCACTTCTTTACACATTTGGGGTTCAGTCTTTCCATAGTTTGATGCCGAACATAATGTTTCCCATCTGATCCAAATAAATTAAACTTGCTCTCATCACTAAAGTGAACTTTGGACCAGTTCTCTTCTCTCCACACAACATGCTCCTCAGCAAAGGTGAGCCTAGCCTTTTGATTCTTTCTGCTGATGAGAGGCTTGGTCACTGCAGAGCATCCTTTCAGTCCGACTTCTCTTAAACATGCAGAGACAGATCCATACCCTGTTCAGCGCTGAACTGTCGAGAAATTCCAGCTGCAGTGTTAAACTGATTTCCCAATAAGAGTCTTCGCATTATCCGGTCTTCTCATGCATTTGTCTTACATGGATGGCCAGACTTTTTGGGGGACTTGAATTAGTGTCATTGTAAATCTGCAATATTTGAGAAATCACAGATATGGAATGACTAACTTCTCTTACAGTGGCTGAAAGTGTCATCCCTTTGGCCTTCATCTGGACAACCTCCTGTTGCAGGGTTTCAGTCACCTTAGGCTGCGTTTACACTTGGCATTAACATGCGACCTGTATCCGGATGTTGTCCACATACACATTGAAAAGACAAGTGTAAACGCGCTTCTGATCGGAATGTTATTCGATCAGCGTGTCCTGGTCCAGAGGTAGTCGAGGACACATTGTGATCGGATCTCAGTGTAATGTAAACGCAATCCAGCCATCGTGTCTGCATTCGCAGGTCGACATCATGCAAAACACCGCCCCCTCTCTCCCGATCTGTCGGAAGAACAGAGCACTAGTGAGACTCATACATTTATTTTGATTTGTAAAATGTCCCGCGACTGAAAATAGTTTTCAAAAGAAAACCCACCACTTCAGGTCGACTTTGCATCGCAGACTTATTTAAATATTGCGCGGGAAATACAGATCCGATCGGTTATCCAGATCGAGAAGTCAGCTGATGTTGCCAAGTGTAAACGCGCCGTGTCCTGATTGACTGATGATCCGATCTGCTTGATCAGATCACGGTGATCGCATGTTAATGCCAAGTGTAAACGCAGCCTAA